TACCTTGTTGGTTTGAAATATATAGTTGTATGACTTGATGGTTTAAAATGAAAAAATTTATTGGAATTTTCGAAGGGAACTGATTCGTACACAACACTTTTTTTCCATACACAACAATTTGTGCTTTAAAGTGTTGTATTGTACAACTTTATAATGCATAAATTGTTGTGTATGGCAAAAAATTGTTGTGTACGAATCAATTCCCATTTTCGAAACGTTACAAAAAAAAATTCAGTTGTTTCAATTGTTTCTTGTCTTCAATGTGAAGAAACGCCTTTTGAAGAAGATGACGATTGATCGGATTATTTTGGGTCAAAAAAGACCCATCTTTTTGTGTATTTGTTAAGATTTGATGTGATGTAATTTAAACCCATTTTGCATTAAATCATTCTTCTAATTATTGGCTCGTAGAATTGAAGATGAAGTGTGGTTAAACTTAAATCTTGTTAGCTATCGAGAACAAAAAAGTTTTCTCCTTGCGTTTGGTTTGTACACATCGCCTTTAAACCCATCTTCATCTTCATCAGAAAGAACCAGATTCTTGATTGGTTCGACCGGTTCTCCAAGATAAATCGGCTTATTTAACGCTTTTGAGATGATTAAATCAGTGCAAGCATCTATTAATCCTAGTTTTGTCACTTGTTGAAGAAGGATTTGATTTTCTTTAGCTTTCAAGGATCTGGTCGATTCGTTCCAACATGTTATGATTTGGTGTTCAAAGAATGATAGAGCTCGATTTAAAAGATTATTGGGATTGTGGTTATTGGTCATACCCAAATAACAAGCTAAACAAGAAACCGGAATGACGTTTCTGATGTGAAATTGACTTCAAAACCACAACAGATTCTTGCCATGAGCTCGAAAATTTTAGGGGTTGTTGGGATATCGTAAACAATATGAGAAAGATCTTCATTTGGGTTTTCTTTGAAAAGCTTACAAAGTTTTGATGATCATGTGGCAATTTTCATGAAGAATGTAAAGCTTGACTTTATTATGGTCAAAATGAAAAAAAAATGATTATTTAAAAAATAAAAAGGGAAATGAAATTAAAAATGAAAAATAAAAAGGGAAAATGAAATTAAGTTCCACATAGAATTGATCACCGGTAACCATTTCAAATTGGTCCAAAATGGTTTAATTGATAGCTAACTAACAATTTATATGGTCTATTGTGCAAAATAATAATAATAATAATAATAATAATAATAATAATAATAAATTAGTGATCAAATCCGAAAAATGACTAAATTTTAATTTGTTTAAGTGATGTTTTCTCATGTTTATTTTATACAATGACTTAAATATTTTTAACGAGATTAAAATATTTATTTTATTACCACAAATATCATTTATAATTTTTTATTTAATGTATATAAGTGTTGAGCCTATGTCATTTCAAAAGAATTAAAGGAAACATTCACCATAAATCATTTATATTAAAAAAACTTAACATAAGTTATCACAGGCTCACAAAAAAACTAAACTTTCTTATAACTAGCGTGGCAATCAAAGTGTCGAACACATAGAATAAAGACCAAATCCACAATGCGATTGCCGTCCACTGCCGGTTCCGTTCCATACTTTGCACTAATCTACATTCACTAATGTATAAATAGACAACAATCTTATACCTTTTATATCATAAACCAAATTACAACCTATTTTTAGGTGCTTTCTTTAAAAGAAATCTACTCTAAAAATCTCAAAATTATTTCAAAAATGGCTGCCTCCCATCGGATCATCATCTTCATGGCTACAATTGTTGTTCTTGCAACTTCAATCTCCGCTAAGGAATATATTGTTGGGGATGGAAGTGGTTGGACTCTTGACTTTGATTATCAAGTTTGGGCCAAAGATAAAGTTTTTATGGTTGGAGATACACTTGGTACGTTTATATAATACACTTGTGTTTTTCATACATTATTTACCATATTACATGTCTCCTTTTTTACTTCCATCTTCATTATTATCATCTTTTTTTCTCTTTATCCCTTAACCTTTTTATTTACCATCGTGGGCTCACGTTTCATATATCAGATCTTATCTACGGAAATAGCCTCTCTACGCTTGTGTGAATATATTTAAGATTTTCTACATTTTAGCTTCCCTTATGCCACTCATATTAAATATTGTCTCTAGATCCATTTCACGTTTCCTTGGCATTCAAGTAATGAAGTTTCTTGAAATTCTTGATGTAGTGTTCAATTACGCACCCGGTGCCCACAACGTGATGAAAGTCGATGGAAACAGTTTTCAAAAATGTCTTATCGCACCGGTATCCAATGGGACCTTGACAAGTGGACGAGATGTTATCCCACTTAAGACCTCAGGAATGAAATGGTATGTATGTGGTGTGGGGAAACATTGTGAGTTAAGAAAAATGAAGCTTGCTATTGCTGTTCTACCACAAACAATGACTCCAGCTCCAGCTCCAAGTGTATCAACATCGATCAAATTGGAAGTATCAGTGATCTATGGATTTCTAGTTTCATTATTCGGAGGTTTTTTGTTGCTCTTGGCTTAAACTATTTCATTCTTTAGAATTTTCGAAATTGGTTATTTGATTTTATTTAATATGTCTGTTTGTTGTATCGGATTGAAGATGATTCATATCCGTATTTTATTTTTACGTGAGCTTATGATGACTTTATTTAAATGTTAGAAAATTTGGTTTTATTATTTATTATTATTATTTGAAATAAACAATCTTTCATAATTTATAATCGTCCGTCTATTTTTTTTTCTCGGCATGTTGATTTTCTTAAAACTATCATACATACTTATAAAGCTAGCATTTTTTCTTGAATATCATGCATTTGAAACCCCCATTCTTTTTTCCTTTCACCATAATCATTTGAAACTATCATGACTTTTCAACTTCTTTATAATAATAATTATAATTTGGTAATCAGGTTAAATCAATATCAAATCTAAAATGTAATCATATGTAAACTAAATTTTAATATTAAAATAATATCTTTACTTCTACTTATAAAATTGTGTTTTTTTAACTTTTAATATATTTTACTTAATTTATTAGTTTTAATATATTGTTGGATGTAAACCATTATCATTTTAAAGGTATAATTTTTGAACAATTTGTATAAAATACTTAAATTATTAATTAAAATAGAACATTAAATTCTCAACTTAAATATAAATTTTATTTAACCTAAACAACCCAAAGAATATTTTATAAATAGTTAAAAGTGATCAATTATAGTGTCTTTCTAATAATGATTATAAGTTGGTTAATAAGGTTAAATAAATATCAAACCTAAAGTGTAATCATAAATAGACTAAATTTCAATTTTAAAAGAATATATTTACTTCTATTTATAAAGTTATGTCTTTAAATTTTAATATATTATACTTAATTTATTAGATTTAAAATGTTGTATGTAAATCATAATCAGTTTAAAGCTGCAACTTTTTAACAGTTTGGACATAATACTTAAATTGTTAATTTAAATATCACATTACAGTGTCAACTTAAATATAAATGTCAGTTCCACTAAAAAAACGAAAGAATATTTTGTAAATCGTTAAAAGTGATAAATGCAAAAACTAAATTGTAATATCAATTTAACTAAAAATATTTCCTAAAAATATATTTATAATCGTTAAAATTTTCAAATAAGTAGCTTAAAATAACAATAGTTAAAAATAACTCTATATAAATGATTATATTGTTACCTTTTAAAATCAAATAATAATGTTTGATTTTTTAAATAATTATAATGATAGAAATTAAAACATTAAACAAATAAATTTTAAAAAGTTAGTTAACAATAACAACAACTATAAATAATATTAAATCATATATAATATTTAATTTTATTGATGTGTAACTCACGAGTAGAAGTCATTCAAACGATTGAGATTATGACATTATAATAGATGTATATATTATCATATAATTCAAAATAATCAATATATTATATCAAATTAGTATACAAATTATTATATCAAATTTAACAACAACGTTAGTGTTATATTGAAAAAACCAAATATTTGTAAAGACTTCAACTATATAGGTGTTTCTGCACATTACAATGTCAACTCAAATATAAATTCCAGTTCTATTTAAAAAACTAAAAAATATTTTGTAAATATTTAAAAGTGATAAATTATAGTGATAAATGCAAAAACTAAATTGTAACCTAAATTTAACTAAAATATTTCCTAAATATATTTTTATAACCGTTAAAAGTTTCTAAATAAGTAGCTTAAAATAGCTTACAATAACAATAGTAAAAAATAACTCTATATAAATGATTATATTGTTAGCTTTAAAATAAAAAAAATAAAAACAATGTTTGATGTTTTAAGTAATTATAATGATAGAAATTAAAACATTAAGCAAATAAATTAGAAAAAAATTAATTAACAATAAAAACAATTACAAATAATATTAAATCATATATTATATTTAATTTTATTCATGTGTAACTCGCGGGTAGAAATCATTCAAACGATTGAAATTATGAATTTATAATAGATGTATATATTATCATATAATTCAAAATAATCAATATATTATATCAATTTAGTATATATAAAAATTATTATATCAAATTTAACAATAATGTTATGGTTATATTTAAAAATATATATATATTTGTAAAGGCTTCAACTATATACGTATTTATGCGCAATGCGCGGACATTCACCTAGTAACATCTATATTTATACCGACTACAAAATTTAAAGACAAAACTTCAAAAATGGTCCTTGTGGTTTCCAAAAATATCAAGTTTAGTCCCTAAGTTCAAAAAACCTCACAGATGGTCCCTGTGGTTTTAAAACTTTTAACAAATGGTCCTTTTCGCTAACTCCGTTAGCTTTTGACCGTTAAGTGAAGGACATTTCTGTCTTTTCACTATTACAGGGACCATTTTTGAAGTTTTCCCCTTATTTAAAAATATATATATTATTTAATATAGAAAATGTCTCTCTCTCTCTCTCTCTCTCCGGCCAAAGGGAATCCAAGACCCTAATCAATTTACATTTTGATTCATCACCTGATCGAAATGTGGTCTAAATTTAGAATACTGATCAGAGCCAGAACCACCAACATCACCCCCACCAATCTTGTTATATCTCTTTTTAGTTGTCCTCTTCCTTGCCCTTGCTCTTGCTTGTTCCCTAGTTTCTTTAGCAAGACAGTGATGAATATACGCACTTTTCCTAACTCCTCTATCAAGCTTTTTCTTCTCTTTGTTACTACTAGAGGAAGTAGATTTTGCGTTGCCTACTATAATCACCGTATCTTCCCTAATTTTCTCCATAGATTGATCATCAATTCCAAACATAACTTCACATTCTGATGCAGAAGAACCGCTATTTGACAGACCAATGAGACTGCAAGTGCGGTCTAACTGTTGGGGAAGTAGATCTTGAATAGCGGGTTTTGATTTCATGAGCAACCAGTCGACAATGTTGCTGGCCTTATCGATCCCAAGCATATCTTGCAACCTGAAGAACCTCTTTGCTACATCAAGAGACAATCTCATCCTTCGGTCCCTGGGGCCTTGAGATCAAGCTTTCGGAAACGTCCTACTTGGATTTTCAACTTCACCAGCTAATGTACTTGCTTTATCCCAATAATTCAAGTTCCAAAACATGCTATTGAAGTAACCCCTCCATTGAACTTTCTTGAAATCCAAAGTTATCCATCTTTTTAGGCCTGATTTTAGGGATTGAAAGAATACCCATGACTGCAAATGAAAGGAGTGAGAAAGAAGCAAGAAGAACAGCAGAAAATCTGACAATGTGAAGACCTCTATAGTTCAGATGAGTTAATAAGATAGTAATTGCTAAAAGGGTTGGGATTTTAGCGTATAATTGATCGAATATTGGGAGTGATTGCTTCAAGTAATCGAGAAATAATACAGGGTAAAGTGTGTGATCCATAACCCCAGTAAACCATTTCCAAAACCCTTCTTGGAAACCCCAAAAAGGGTCGAACGCTGATGATATCCAGATGACATAACCGCCATTTTCAGGGAAGCTTGTGGCGAGTTCGGCTGTGATTAGTGCTTGTGGGATGCTCCAGAAAATGGGGAAAATTAAGAACCCTAGTAATGAAAGTAGAGCTCCGCCTCCAGATTTGACTGAATCTTCTACACCAAATGGACCCCCGGAAACTTCGTAGAAAATTAGGGCGATTAGAGGTAGTAAAGTTAGTTTAGGGTTTGATTTCTTATTTGTGGTGTTCATCTGATCATTGCTCAAGATCGTTTGTTTGTTTCCCTCCACACCCATGAAGTTTGACGATCGAAAGCTTGATCTTATGGCGTATTAAGTTATCACCATGGTCATGATTGAGAAGTCAATGGAATAAATTGGATTAGTATGAAAGATTTTATGAATTAGATTTTGATTGTTCGAGGAAGCAAGTGAAGATGTGAATGGAGAGAGAGAGAGAGAGAGAGAGAGAGAGAGAGAGAGACCTTTTCTATATTAAATAATAATTTTCTCTTTTTTAAAATAAGGGCAAAACTTCAAAATTTGTCCTTGTAATAGTGAAAAGACATAAATGTCCTTCACTTAACGGTCAAAAGCTAACGGAGTTAGTGAAAAGGACTATTTGTTAAAAGTTTTGAAACCACGAGACCATTTTTAAAGTTTTATCAAATTTAAATGTAAATGGTTTAACATTCAAAGAAAACGTAGCACAAGCAACAAAAACAAAGAAAGTTCACAAACCAATGTTTGATTATTATTTATCTTGATATCGGCCTTAGTGAAACCTTGAAAACCTAGTTGCATTAAGACGGGATTCAACAACTGAAAGCCCAATTGGTAGCATTGGGCTTGGGAGACTCTCAATTTTGGATTTAAAATTAACTAAGGATTGTATTTGTTACACAATAGATGACATGATATGTTTTATAAGTTATTTCTAGGGATATTAACCAAACTAACACTTATCAATGGCATTGTTAACAAAAAGGAAAAGTATTTTAGTGTTTTGTGAAAATGATCGCTTTGTCTAGAATGGGTCAGTACTAATGATAATATATAATGTGTATTTTTCTTCTAATTTGAACCAAAAATTAAAAAAAAAAAAAAATCAAAATATTCCTCTGTTCATATCTGAAATGGTTACTTTGAAGTGTCAGCTATCACCATTTTTTAATCAAATATAGTTCTTTTATCGTATCTAGATCCCATTAGCTATGCCTCTTTATAATTTTGGTAGATTTGAGTAGAAAAAACAAAGTATTTTCTCAAAATTTTAGAATCGTTCATAGAATTTCAGATTTCTTCTAGAAAATTCAGAATAATTTTTTTTTCCTAATCCACCATTTGGAATGTACTTGATGTATTTTCATCGTTTGAAAACGTATTTTAATGTGACAAAGTTAGTCCAGAATGAAAGAACATACTTAATGTATTTTTTTCGTTTAAAAATCTATTTTAATATGACATAAAATTCATGACAAAATATCATTTTCCCAAAAACATAAACCACATGATCATTTTTCTTATTCCTAAAAGTTGGTTTAGTTAATCTCCCTATTTTTTATTTATGAACATGAGAATATGGACATTAATGTGTTATGGAATAACGAGATAAAAGCAACTTCATGTCTCACTTTATTCCACATTTCCAATAGTTTTTTTCTAATTGTACAAAACTACAACTTTTGTTCCATGTCATCAAGTCAAATGCATATCATATTATGCTTTTTTTGTCACACACCTCATACAAACTTAAGAAGGCCCAACAAACACACAAAAACGAATCAACATATGTCAAACCATTTAAAGCATGAGAAACAAATTATATACAATTCTTGTAAGGTAGAAATAACAAATATACAACCAAATCAATTCAAATCTGTTCAAAAAAAAAAACCTCCGAAAACACTACTATTGTAGCAATGACAATTGTTCTTCCTCTTGTCGCAACTCACTGAGTCGTTTTTTAGCATAAACTGTAACTATTATAGTTGTGGCAATTGTTAAAAGAAACCCCCCAACTGTGAACACAACTTGAAGAATCGAAAGTGATCTTTGATCTTTTGAAGCATCCGCTAAAGTTCTTATCATTATACCCCTAAAGAAACAAACACAAGAATTGGATCTTTTTTAGTTATAGTTTTAGTAAATTATAATTCAATATATTCAGACGAATCTTACGTGTAGATTGCAACAAAAATTTCAGGCACCATTCCCACCAAAGTTCCAAACAAATAAGGAACAAATTTAACATCAGTTGCCACTGCACAGTAATTGTAAAGAGCATATGGAAAAGGTGATATTCTTAATAGCATCACAGCTCTAAACTGATCATACCAATCTCCTTCACCAGCTAATTTTATAATCGAAGCTTTTTTTGGGTATCTTTCTAACCACGACTGGATAAAAAGTAAGAACAAACCCTAATGAGCTGAAATAGAAGGGTGTAGAAGATGATTCAGTTGATTTGGGGATTACTTACTTGAATTCTGCGATAAAATAAGGAACCGAGGAAGTAAGGAAGTGATACGCCTATAGTAACTCCACTGATTATTAACAGAAACCCCAAACCATAACCGAAGCTCATTCCTGCAACCCACATTGATGGTGTAGATGGTATGAATAAGCTGGGGAATAGTGCTACTGAGCCGAATATTAAAATTGCTAATACTGGTTTGCTGAATGTCTCGGTTTCCCAATTTAAAATCGGGATAACCTCCTGAAATACAAGAATTTTGGTAGTATGTTTAGTGATTGTAGTCTTGTGATCCAGAAATGTGAAAGATGTGTCGATTTGTAAGAAGTTTGAATGTAATTGGGATGAACAGTGTAATAGATTGTAGATAGATCAACGTACCTTATCCATTAGAAAGGGTCCGATCCATGCGAAGAAACAAATCCCTAAAATAGCTAAGAATATGACAAGAAAAACGAGTTTTCCCCACCACCAAAATGACCACCATATACTAGTGCAGTCTCCGGAGGGAGAAGAAGGCGACGGAGCCATACCGCCACCGCCGCCGAGGCGGTCGTCATCTAATCCTTCCGGTTCCGTCATGATTACGTAATCAGGCTTGTGGTCATCAAACCCGATCTTCAACCGGGCGACTCCAGCATTGTTTTCATGCGACATTCCGATTGATAGTGATATCAAATCAAAATCGAATCGAATCGAATCGAACAAAAACAACCCTAAATCGGAGGGTTTGGAGTAGCCGTTAGAATACGTTGTCGATCGGAAGAGAGAAATGAGAGAAATCCGGAAGAATCAAATGGAATGGGTGATGGTGAAGAAGAAAAGGAAGGAAATTGGAAGGAAGCGTGGATTCGGAGATGTTTTTGTGGTATTTTAATGGCGGAATCCTTATTGTTTCATGCTAATAATGTTATGGCAGCATTCCTAATTTTTAACGATATTTTTCCAATCATTTTCCTACGCGAATGTTTGTTTTCGGAAGTCTTTTTAATTTTTATTATGTAATAATCAATTATAAAATGATTATTTTTTTTCTCGGTGTTTTTTACGTCTGCTTTAAAAATTGTTTATTATATATTATCAATCATGTATCATGTATTTTTAATAATTGGATGAACCCATTTGTTATTTAAATAATCGGAGATAAATTACATCAAACAAGTACATTTTAGAGACCATCTTTTTCGGGAGTATAATAGAATTATCTGTGTGTTATTACGAAAAAATTATATTTCAAGATTATCTGGCATAAATTAATAAATTAGTATTGTTAAGTGGAAAAATGCGAATGTTGTTAGGATTTACATACATTTATGGATTCATTAATCCGTCAAGAGTCTTATTTTTAGTTCATACATTAAGATTTAGTGTTAAATCTCGTATTTATATTTGTTATTCTAATGAGGCCCTCACAAGATTCACACTTAATGAACCTTGATAACAACTCACGAGACATAGTTTATTATTCGCAACAAATTATTTAATAAATTATGGAAAGAAATTGTGTTACTACCGGATGGATCAAAAATACTATAATCTATGGTGTGTAAAATAATGTGAACTTTATAAACAGCCAAGAAAAGTACTAATGATGGTTCAGATGGATGTTTTAATTTTCGCCTACCTATGTTTTCTCCGGTAGTTTCACTACTTCAACATGTTCCAAACTCGGTAGTCTTGACTTGAACATACCCATGTTTTTTAGGTTGCCCCAACTACTTGGTCATGTCATTAACTTAGTGATGTCCCGATTTGGACATGTTTATAATGTATTTTAAAAGGACTCTGATTTGAGCATTCCAACGCTTTAGTATAGTCCCAACTTGTACTTGTTTTTTGCTTATCCAAAACCCCGAATTAAGCTTAACTCCCTTAACATATTTATACATATTAAATCTTTAACTTCATATCACTCACTAGTGAATCGTTCGGATTCAAAGCATTTGGTTGAAGTTTTTTTAGCCTCTTAATCGGACAGATATAGAAGAAAATGGTTTTAATCAATCAGATGTATTGAGGAATGTATTGAGGAGTCCGGATGAAAAGTTTTCCATGTGATACCATTGCTCA